AGACTCTTAAATCCTCACAATTTGCTAAATCTTTTGTTCTGGACTAGAAAGACATTTCATCCTCGACGTTTCCTTTGGCAAATGCCCCGGGCACCCCCATCCGGCAGTCGCTGTATGGCTCAATAGTTTGATAACATTTGCCTAGACAAGGTGCCAGGGAGAACTTGTCTGAGCTCGAACACTCTTTATTATTGCTGCTGACAATGTCCTGACTTCAAATGGGGAATTAACGGCCGTCTGAGTACGGATGCTTGAGGTTTACTCAGGGCGTCTCTGAAACGCAGCCCTGGCGCAGGCGAGCTGATGGGAAGCAGCGCTGTGGTGTCTGCAGAGATGCCTGGACAGCAGGAGCGATGGGAAACGCTGGCAGAGCACGAGCAGTGTGATGAAGATACGAAGTCCCGGATGGCTTATCACACATCGTACCAGCCAAAAATTAACTGTTGTCTAAGCACAGCGAGTGGCTTTTTGCTGCTCACGGGGACTGGGCAAGAGCGGCATCCCAGGACTGTGGCGGAGGGCTGGTCTCTGGCTCCGAGCGGGTGAAGTGAAGATCTGGCACAGGCAGAGCTGCTGTTTAACGACCTCGTGCTCCTGCCCGGGGAGCTGCGGGAGATCCAGGGTTGGACGAAGGACTCCACAGATGGAGAAAACTAGGCGTGGGTTTTGTTTCAAAGGGACCAAACTCCACGCTCCACAGCCCAGCATGGCAAAGGCTCGACAGCATCACTTGCAACGGAGGCAAGAGGCACCAGCGCAGGCTGGCTGAGGGTGACAGGGCCAGCACCCAACCTCGGAAAGGGCAAACTCGACCTTGCTTGAAGCAGCATCCACTGCCAACACGTGGCTGCAGGAGCCCCAGGCAAAAGGCACGTCTGCATTGGGAAAATAAGGGGGTTCTTTCATTTTGAAACCGTCAGCTAGCAGGGACGGCGCAGGAGGCGTACGCGTTGCTGCCCAACACAAGGGCCGGTCACCAGATCTTAATACCGCTTAAGGCTGGGAGAAAAGTCCTCTAGGTAATTGAGATGCAGTCAACGCTCGCATAAAACCAGAGATGAGCGGCCTCAGCTCCCCCTGCGCCCCTCGGCTGTTCTGCGCAGCGTGGACCGAGATGGACGCCTCCTCCCTGGGAACGCGAAGCCTTTCGCCAAACAGAAAGCCGCTAAGAAACCGAGCGATCGGGCCCCGGGCCAAGTCACCAAGGAGCCTGCTTCCCAAAGGCAGGCAGCTTGCCCCTCGCCAGCACAGGCTCCACGGCTCCTCCCGAGGCACCGCGGAGGCTCTTTCACAGCCCTGCTGTGACCGAGCACATAAATCCCCGGGAAGAGTCAAGTTGGAGTCCCAGGCGCCTGGGACGGCATCGCATGGACATTACCCGCCCCATTCCTTAGCGAAGGGCATCCATTCCCTTGAAGCCACTTGCTGCCGCTCGCTGTGGCAACTTCCCAGAGACGAAAGCATCAGACGCTCGCACCCAGCGAGCTGGCCTGTGATAAAAGGACGCTTTCTTCCCAGAAAGCCGGGAGCTTGTATGGCTGCCCGAGTTCAATGGCTGCACCCTCCCTTTCAGCAGAATTAGGGCACTGCTGAGGATTAACAGCCCTGACTACAAATAAGAGCAATGCTGAGCTGGCCAGAAAGAGAGACATATACCAGAAGAGATCCCATTAGCCCGAACAAATAAATAAGGATAATGACTGGGGGAGAAGCCCTGTGCCGCCGCAGTTGCGGTGTAATCCCTCCATGAGTTTCTCACTTGTACAATTCACGTTCGAGTCCAGCAGTGACAGTTTCACATCCTGAGGGTGTAACGTGGTATAAACCTACTTACAGCACGGTGAAACCAAGCGGGTACCGAAGCACATGGCTCCACTCTCCGGGTGTTTGGCCAGAACTGGGAGCGGGACTGTCACTGCCTGCGGGGAACGTTTCTGGATCTGCCCTGGGGGATGCGGACCCTTCTGAGAGGCAGGAGCTCCCCTCCAGCACCCTCTCACAGACGTGCACCACGAAACCGTTGCCACACGCTTATTCACACCCCACGAAGAATTTGCTGAGCAGTTCAGGTTCAGTTTGCCCTTCTGTAAACCCCCAGCCAAGCCTCAAGCAGAAGAGGACTCTCCCTTAAGGCAATTAAAAGGCACTGATTCATAAAATTCATTTTTCTCTGGCCACCTCTTCTTCCTTTGCTTCTCACAAGTGCAGTTTTGTATGGAAACCATCTCCCTACAGGCTGGAAACAACAGCCTCCTCACCCCTTGCCTGCCTTCACCCCTGTGAAAGGACAAAGCAAGCAAAAACTCAGTGATTTCTGGCTCGAGAACAGTTTCCTCCTTTATGTTCCTCAAACGAGCACAACCAGGACTCATTCCTGCCCCAGGACACACGGACCAAGCACCTCGCGTCCCGACCAACTGTCCAGATACCCTGACGTCTGCCTGACGGCACTTTGAGGAGCTCTTGGAGCCCGCCGTGAGCTCACGGCACACGGGAAAAAAAAAAAGTCCACAGGATTCAAGCGATGGAGCTGTAGGAAGAGAAAACTTACCAACCGCGCCAGGCCATGAGACCCCATGTCCAGCCGGAGGAAACGCCTGCTAGCAGCCAGCTGGACCGCTCACACCAGCACGATTGGTAGGTTTGCTCAGAGGCGGCTCCTTTGCTTCTCACAAGAATTTATTTACTTTGGAAACTGTGCCATTATCTTCAATACTCTACAAGAGATATAAAGGGGAGAGATGTTTTTTTTCCCTTCCTAACCAGGACAAGCCCTTCTCCTCGGGGAGCTGCCAGGCAGTCCTCCGCAGGATCTACAGCTTCCAGCTCGGCGGAGGAGCCTGGGACAGAGGCAAACACTGACAAGAAGGCACCCACCAGTCCTCACAGCCACAACCAACGCCCCGTCCTGCAGCTCGAGCAGCGCAGGCACTTCTACGCAGCTACAAAACTCCCTTTCAGGGGGGCTGGAAAGGTTTTGTATATTTTAGATCACGATTTCAAGCCCTGTCACCACGATATCCCTGTTACCTTCTCACAGCCCCACTCTGAGAGAGGAAATACCACACCAATTTACAGACAGGGCACAAGCCATCAGTCCAGGTATTCCAGTTGCAGGGGGGTCTCTGCTCCCCAAAATACCCTTCCCATCTGCCCGATGGATCTCTTTTTGGGGGTGCGGGGGGGTGAACGTGACCCTAACTTTCAGCACTCGGTTTAAGCCAATTGACACACCTGATCCGAGTTACCACGGTTTTAATTAGCGCCTTGAGGGTGAAGGTGAATCAGAGTCCCCTAAAATCCATGAAAGACCTCAGCAACTGCAAGAAAACGCTCAGGATTATGAAGCCAAGCACAGTCATAGGGGAAAAAACCACGCCAATGGTAGCAGCCCCATTTGTTTGCCAGGGCCGTGACCAAGTATTCAAAGTCGGGCAGAAAGGAGCTCAAACACCTGCATATTTACATATTAACAGCAGGAAATCAAGCAATGTCTTATAATAAACTGGCCAGGATTTCTGTTGTTGTTGTTGTTTTAACTCCTGGTCTGACTCCGACACGCCTGCAACAGAGCAGGCGTTACAGCCACTCGCCAACATCAGAGTTCGTTTTCTCCTTCCCTGATGCTGGGGGGAAATTCCCTGGTGCTTTGGGTGCACCTAAGGAGGAGGAAGAGGAGAAGCAGCTAAAATAAAGCGAGCCAGGATGGCGGCGCTGACAAGGATGCGGGGGCATTCTGTGGAAGGACCGGCCGCGGGGAGGAGGGAGCAGCGCCTCGCGCTGCACGTCAAGGAAGGAGAGGTTTCGAGGCGCGGGAGCGAGCGGATCGCAGGGC